ATATATATATATATTAGTATAGTACTGTTTCTTACTAGAAGCAAAGCTAGTCAGAGAAGTTTTTAACTGTTGATGGACAAACCTCTCCTTTTTAGGTGTGAATATGTCTTTGACTGTTGTAGTGCAGCATTGCCAAAGTGGGACAATAAATATATTCAAGAAGCTTGGCTGGTAGTGCCAAATACTTCCATATGTAAATATTTGGTGGTGGTAATTGTACCTTACAAATATTGGTTTGGTGTGGCTTTTAGAATGCTTACATATCAGAAAAACAACACAAAGTGCTTGTGGTCTAGAATTATCTACAACAACGTAGCTTACAGCTATGTTAGTGTGAGTTTAGGTTTTACATAAACACATGAGAGCGGAGCAGGTGAAGCCGGAATGGGAATAGGAGCTACATGCTGATGGGCATTGAGATAGTAGTTTATTTTCCCCCTGGGCTATTCTTGAGTGGGTGTTCTGGTGCACTGATACAGACATGCTGCCGCTCGGAGTTCATTTTGCAGATGAAACATTGAACTACCCTTTGGAACAGACCACTTCCATGCCCAGTGCCTGCTTTTGTGTCAGACTCTCTCTGCAAGGTCTGCCAGGTTACAGAAATCACACTGGCCAACTGTGACTGCTAACCTGTGTTGAGGATGCTGGTAGGGTACTGCAGAGGGCTTGAAAGAGGATGGTGGAATGGATCCCTCTGGATTTGAAACTGTTTGTCCAGTGATTAATATTTTCTTACCATCTTTGTTTTTAACCTTCCAGTAAATCTTTTGCATTATTTAATCGCTGTGTTCCACAAAATCCTGAATGCTATTCCAAATATGCATCTGTCTTAATAAGCATGGTTAATGAAATGGATGTTTTTCACCGAATTCTGAGTGGAATATTGGCAGGAAAAGATACTGTGATAGGACTCGGTGTCCTTGCACTAGGTAAGCATATAAATAAGAAACAAATAATGATGTTCAATTGAAGTGTGAGGTTTCAAATGTTTCTATTAACTCTACATTTTTAATTTCCAGGTGATCTTTTTCATATTTTCTGGGCAGAGTTGTTTTTTTGGAAGTGTGATTGGGTTTTATCAGGGGGCATTTAATAGACTGATGAAATCCAGCTCTGTGAAATATCAGACTCTGTGTTTCTTGATATGACAATATACTTCATTTCAAGGGACTGTAAGAAATGATCGATGAAAAAAATGGCATTAGCATGAAAATTTTAACTTAAATCCTATACAAAATATTATTGACAAGCTGATAATTCCCAAGGTGAAACATGTCAGTTATAAGTTCATTGTTAGTAAGCTGCGGGTAACTGTGTGTTTTAAATGTTAAAATAAAAAGGTTGCCAGCTTTACTAAATGCTGCTGCTTCTGAGAGCCTTGTTTAAAAATAAAAGCCCAAATTCTGCAAGAACCTTTAATGTGTGTTTAAAGAGTTAGGTTAAATGTGTTGGAATGCTCGTAATAAACTCACTTTGTATCTTTTTCAGCCTTCTCTTTAATCCTAGTTTTAGCCTTCAGATTCATTCGGACGGTTCTGGTTCATACTTTGATCGCACTGGTTGTATTTGGGATGTTCTGTAAGTATCTTTATCTTTTAGCATATGCTTAGTTAAATGGGTCATCTCACTGATCTAAAGGAGAAGCAGCCGAGCAGACAGCTGTGCTCTGTCTCCATGGCATGCTCTGCTTGCCTTTGGTGCCAAGGTCTGCCTGTGCCGTTCCAGCTGCTGAGTGTTGGGATGATATGATGCCTGGATACAACATTTCTTTTGGCAGATGAATGCAGTTACTGTTTCACAGAAGTTCAGTGAAGTTTTACATTGCCTGCTTTAGAAAGAGAGAACTACAGGAATGTCATTCCATGAAAGTTAGCTTTGTATCTCCACAATGAAATTACATGTCTGAGCTTCAGAGTAACTGCACGAAAACCAAACATTCCGCTGTGGTTTTACCTCAGGTTAACAGACCATTACGTGGATTTTCTCTGTGACCGCTGATACTGTGCTTCTCTGCTAGGTGACAGTATTCCTGAGCTGAGCTTGGATTAGGTGGAAGGGCAGGAGACTCCTGAAGGGAGGCCAGGCAGACATCAGCCTGCCAACAGCAGTGTGCTGCAGCCCCGGGGTGCACTGCCTGCCTTCACGCTGCTCTTGTTTGCTCAGTTGTCTCAGGTGTGCTCTGGTGGCTCTATTATGACTACAGGAATGATCCCAGCACTGAATTGGAAACAGAAAAGGAAAATGTGAAGTTTCTACTTGGATATGCTATCTTCTCAACAACAGTTACCGTAAGTAGCATTTTACCTTGGTCAGTGCAGAGGCTGTAACTTGAAAACTTGAACTACTGTGGTTCTGCAGCAGTAAAAATAGTTCCTTGTTCCTTCAAATTTGAAAATGAAAATCAGTTATAAGATTTGCTTACACTCATTTAAATACTTGTACACCTTCCTTGTGAAATTTGTGTGTCAGAACAGAGCTCTGCCACACTTCAAACCTGTACAAACACTTCTAACAGTGGTGTAGGAATACAAGAATTCCAACAATTTGTCTTTTTATTTCCTGTAACAGGTTGTTTTGCTTTCTCTCATACTTGTACTAAGAAAGAGGCTTCAGTTCACTGTACAACTCTTTCGAATTGTTGGTAAAATCATTGGCAGAATTCCCTTCCTCCTGTTCCAACCACTCTGGACCTTTATGATTCTCGTTGTGTTCTGGGTATTTTGGGTTGCTGTACTACTCAGCCTAGGAACTGCAGGTAAGTATATGCTTTCCATGGTTTTGGATGAATGCTGTTTCTTAAGTTCACTTCTTAAATATGGGGCCTCCTGTTGTTAGTGTACAAGACGAAGGTTGCCATTGTTACATAGCGCTCTTACTCTTTTCTTCTTCTGTTTGTTTTGTTCTGGCATGGAGACAGAACTTTGTTTCTGCTCTGTAGCTCGGTGACAACTGCTGTTATCATTTAGACTGGTACAACAGTATTTGGATTAATCCAGAGCTTCTTGCAGTTGTAGGGAAGGTGGTCTGTATAAATAATCCATCAATATGAAAGGTGTGCCAGAACAGACATTACTGAGGGACATACCGCTATAAGATCTCTCACTGATGGAACCAGGGTAATTTGGATGCTGTCTCTTGGCCCAGCATCACACCATCAGAGAGAAGTGGAGGTTCTTCCATGCAACATCACACAGAGCAGCTCTGTGCAGTTCTGGGGATAACACCTCATGCAGATATCAGCCTTTGTACCTAGGAAGCATTTTATGATTTGGGGGGTTGTTATGTTTTTTTACTTTATTTTAAATTTCAACCTTTCTGTAGCTAAGCCTATTTGGCAAACTGGCAGTAATCCTCACCTCCATGGGTCATCCTTCCATCACAATTGCTTCCATCTCAGTCTCATCCTGTTAATTCTGGCTCTGTAGAAGACTCCACTTGTAACACGGTAGTCTGCCTGCCTGAGGCCATGCTGCCATTGCAAATCATTCAGCCATTGCTTAGGCTAGACTAGGATTTATTTCTGTCCAGCTTTCATTGGAGAGTTATGCAGGGTTTTAAGGGTCTCCCTGTTCCTGCTGCCTTTCCCCCAGCAGCTCGTGTGGCTGCTTGAAGCACTTGTGTGGCTGATAACCTGCTTCTTGTACAAAAGGGTCGGACCTAGCAAAGGCATATGTCCTGCCTGCAGTCCTTCTGTGACTTGTTCCTGACTGATTAAATAGTCAAGCAGATTCTCTTTACTTTAGGTGTCCTGGATATTCCTTCTCCACACTCCTCTGAGCTGGATTTTCCCTTTACAGGGGCAGCATTATGTGCTAGACACAGCTTTGTGTGGTTGTCAGCTTCCCTGCAAAACCTTCATCCCATTTATGTGCACATCAGCCAGGCTGCTGTAATTTTCACGTTGGCCTCGTGGGGTACCTTATCACTGGTTCACACCAGTCCTTTATAGAGAAAGGAGCATCTCCTGAGCTATCAACCAACTGTTCATTTCAGGCACCTGCTTGGATCAGATGTGATTTAAGATAAACATTAACTCTAGTAAATCTAGGAGCAGGTAAATAACATTAATTATAACACCCAGATTTGCTAAATAGATAATTAAAAATAACTATTAGAGGAAATATTCCACTGTTGATGTTCAGCTGAGCTGGCCCATTACTCACAGGAAAATTTACTGGTACTCTTAATATGCACACATAAGGATGGGAAGCTTGCCCTTGTTAAATCTAAATTTGGAAGATGCCAGCTGTGTCTGTTGGATTTAAAAGCTTTTGGAAATGCAGCAGTCATTAGAAGAGCAGAAATGTTTTAGCTCATATGACAGAAACAGCTTGATGGTAAGCGTGGAATGGGGAACTAGTCAGGTATTTCCTGGTATTGCAGGAAAGTAGTGACTTGCCCGTTGTATCTGAAAGCAGATTCCACATGTATTCAACAGGGAAATAAAACCTAAATATAGATCCAAATATGAAAACTGCTCTTGAGAAGCTCTTTATGCTTTTTGCATGTTGTGCCATTTTCCTTCCCTGGTTATAGTCTTTGTTTCCTGCTAGATGTTGCCATTCAACTTTTCTCTTTCCTTTCTTTCTCTGCCTGCTTGGAGAGTAGCATTCAAACAGTTTATGACCTGCTGTGACATTCCTAGTGCAGCACACGTCTCCTGGCTCAAAGGTATTTGATTTTTGGTCTTTTCCCTAGTGTAACAGGAAAGCTGATGTTTCCAGCAAACCGTACAGAAGCAGCATAGTCATGCTGCACAGTAAATAATCTAAACCACTTCTAAGGTACCAATTCTACCCTAGGCATGATGCAGGTAGAAAACTGTCACTCCTCATATCTGATTATTTTTGTAGTTGAAATGCAATTCTATTGATTGTATCATCTGCATTTGTACTTATTCTTTTTGTTAAGCAGGCAATGTTAAATGGGGGCTGTTGTTGCTCCCCACATGTAAGCTGAGTCCTTAGCAAAGTGCAGGGGCTGAGCTGCTCATGTAAATAACGTGTAAACGACCTGCAGCAGCCTCAGTGCCCGCTAGATGCCGATACAGCAGTGTGGGAAAGTCTCTTCTCAATCTGCTCGGTTGTTTACAGCAGCTCTGATTCCAGAGTAACAACAAAGGCAATTTGAGCCTTGTAATGATCTGCGGAGGTAGCAGGGAAAGTAGGATGGTTTTATCCAACCCCCAGCTTGAGGAGGTTTGTCGAGGTGACACAGGAGGTGGGTGTCAGCAAAAAGTACAATAGTTGTTTGGAATTCCAGTCTCATACTCTACCTTGGATTTGTTTGGTAGTTCAAAACCTGGACAAATGAATGGCAGACTAAATTTGGGATTGAGAATATTCCTTCAGATGGTATTTCAAATTTTAGACCCAAATATGAGCCCTCTAAAACGCTGCATGTTAAAGCAGCTCACAGTAAGTAGCTCGTCAGGGGTTGTTTTGCTGTTCTAGGATGACTTGTACTTCACACATATAGTCCTGTATGGTTACTAGAAAAGAACAGCTTTGTGTTTTTCAGCTTGCTGCTGTGCCGCATCTGTTCTTAACACTTGCCTTGAATTTTCCCTCTTTAGATAACATTTATAGCATCTCTGCATCTTGCAGCTCTGGAGCACATGATCCTTGCTTCAGCTGTGGTGCAGCCGATCTTTATGTGACCACACAGACACCTTATTTACATCCCCTCCAAAAGTTAGTGTCACTCTGAGAAAAGACTTAATGGGAGCTGTAGAAAACTACAGCCCACACTTGGAAAGGTACTTGTGCACATGACTTACTTGAAACACGTGGGTAATCCTATTAGAATCAGTGGGACTACTTATGCGTTTTAAGGTAGGCACCTGCTTAAGTACCTTGGTAATTCAGAATCTGTAAGAGCAGCAGAGACTAAATGAGTTCCAGACCTAGAAAACTAGGAGAAATGCCAAGACTCCACGAGACCTGAGACAGCACAAACAGTGGCACCATTTAGAACCATTATCTGGCTAGGAATGGAATTCAGCTGTACTTTGGAAAAGCTGATATGTCTTGGGGTTATTGGGTCTTACTGTTTGCTAATCTGTGTGGCATTTCACTGCAGAACAAGTGGCCATGTGGCAGAGCAAATGTCTTTGAACCTTCCAGCCTGCAGGAGCTGTGAAGTTCAGATGGCATAAACACTATGCATGTAATGTGGGATGAGAAGGCGGTGTGAGATTTTTATGTAATGAAGGTGCATCCTGCAGGCAAGCGAGCAATAAAACTGCCACATAAAGCTGTGCAGTAGCAAATCCAGCAATAAAAATGTATTTCCTGCAGGGTCCTTGACGTTCCAATTACAGTCAGCTAGCTTAGCTGTAAATACCACTACATGGAAAATAAAATAGCACAGTTCTGCTGCAGGAAGCGTGAAGATTGAGCATGTGGTGCCAGAACTTTTCCTCTCTTAGCAGTGGGAAGGGCACATCATATTTGTATGTTAACAGGAACTGATAAACAGGCTTTTTGTAGTTTCTGGTCAGTGGCTCTTTGTTTCTGGTAAGGAAATTGCTGGACTAGACTTCCTAGGAATTTTTGTCCCCTATAACAGCCTACTACTGCAGGCATCAGCAAAACCTTGCAGCAGCAGTTGCCAAGAGCCAGCATAAGTGTGAAAGTACCAAAATGTAGCTAATGATACTGCGTGTCCACATTGCCTTTTGCATTACTGTGCTGCCTGACATCATGGCACAGCACTGGGCTGCAGAGTCAGGTGGAGAAACTCTTCTGAACCCTGTTGCAAACACTTGTGCCTGTTTGCAGTGTTAACAGCACTTCTGAAGTATTTGCAGCAGATCAATGCTTGTACTGATCAGAGGTTTTCAGATTTGGTGATTCAGCCGTGGGGACTAAAGTTCTTTACCGACTTCTTAATGTTATCACTAAAAGTGTGTAGTACATCAGAAAGATTCATGACTGTTGACAAATTAAACCATATTCCAGGTCTTTGTTGAGGAAATTTAGCCTGTGTGAACAGATGGGTCACAGTGGAGTGATGAGGAAAATGGCGCTTACTTTTCTCAACAGGGTATCTAGGATAGCTTTAAAGTTTAGCTGTGCTGCTAAGACTGATATACGTAAAGTAGGATTGCATGTAACTCTGTTGACACAGTTATGCATGCATGGTAGGTCCAGAAAACAGGGAATCAGTCACATAGATGTTTACACTGGTAAACAGGGTTCTGTGAAGTGCCAAACCCGGTTTACATTCCTAGACAGCAAAGTGGTCCATGGTAAACCATCCATACATACATCTGTCAGTCTTCATGGCAATACTATAGGAGCATAGCCTGAAATACACCTTTTTTGTGGATTGTATGGTGGAAAGTGTGTTTAATTCTACTACCAAGTGGCATAATGTCTTTGCATAAAAATGAGGAGGTAGGAGACCTATTGGCCTATCATTTGCATAAGCTCCTTCAGTAAGGGCCATAGGCCATGGGGAATGAGCGTATTCGACATGTGCTGCAGGCAAACAGCTATCTAGAGCCTCAGCAAGAAGTCAGGGAGATGGAAAACCCCCTGAATTCAGAATGGTATAGTGCATGGCTTATTTTAATGTAACAAAATACATGAATCTGACCAGTGGCCTTTCCACACCATCATGTATCTTGCATTTCACAGGCTTAAAATACATTTGAATTTAATGAAAGCAACAATATTTTTGCGAATGACCAACCATACAGCACTGCAAAGAGCTGGCTAGTTCAGCTAAAACTGATAACCTTTCAGGAATTAAAGTAGCTAGAACAGATGCCAGTGTTCATGCACCCATGTAGCATTTTTTGGAGCTGTCAAAGCACCTTCAAACATTTTTGCAGTGCTACTATGAGCTAGATGAATATTTTTCATCATTTACAGACAAACAGACCTTGGTTCTGAAGACTTATAAAGCTTGGCTAAACCTGACGGTATTGCTGAAAGCAAATCTTTATTGTTTCCACTTTTAGCTCTTCTTGAGTATTAACTCTGTGGCTATAAAAGGACAGAAATAAGCGAACCATTTCATAGATAGCTTTACATCTGTGGTAGTTCTGAAGGTGATGTGCTGTCCTGTGGGAGAACATAGAATCATAGATTCATCATTTACATTGGAAAAGACCTTTAAGATCATCAAGTCCAACCACCCTGCTAAGTCCACCAAATGAACACATGAATTGTTAAAGCTCAAGCTGTAATGCTGTTCTAGCAGTAATAGACTACTCTGTGTGTCACTTCATTTCTTTCATGGAGTTAGAATAAGAAACTACTCACCTCCAGAGATGGTTTTATTCTGTGAACAAGTTTATCTTTAAGGGCAATAGACTTAAGGCTTGGTAAACTAAACAAAAGAGCAGGTTGTGGACCTACAGATCTTTCACTAGGAGTGACTGTCCTAATGCCACTATCCCCGACTAGAGGGTCAAGTGTTTTAAATAGGGTTGCACAGAGCAAGGTCTGATTGCCAAGTTATCTGAGTTATCCCCACCTTTGGTGAGAAGCCATCTATTGAATATGCAATAAATTCTTTGTCATTGACAGAAGTGGAGGCAACTTTTTTTAGCTTTAATAAATGAATTTGTCAATGTTCCTGAATGTAATAGTGACACTGGAGCATATCCTACCTTTTGGGGGTTTGGGTTTTTTTTGTGAGAGCCCACCTTTTTGTGCCTCTATTTTGCACAAAGTTTGCAAAGTCTAGAGAACAGAAAACTAGTTGCCATGGTTCTATTTGAATTACAACATTTTGGTGCTCTGACTTTCTTAGAATGGATAGAGTCAAATAGCACCTGAATTAGGGTTTTATAATCTTACTGAAGAAAAGTTAAAAAAAGGGTGTAGAAGCACTTCTGTGCACTTCTTTTTCCCCTCCTTGTCTGGTGTCTTATAGTAATGCAGTGGTGTAATCCCAACTCCAGGTACTGCACAGGCTACTTCAGGAGGACAAGTGGAATACAGAGCTCTGTCTGGAATTTGCTACATGGCATGGTATCTTTTCGTTGGCCTGATCTGGACTAGTGAATTCGTTCTTGCCTGTCAGCAAATGACGATTGCTGGGGCAGTGGTTACTTGTTACTTCAACAGGTGAGTGTAGAATTGCCCCCATATAGTTTGGGGGATTTTCCAGCATTTACTTTCAACCTTGTTCTAGGCAAAAGAGTATCTTGGAATCCAATTTAATGGAAAATAATGTTGCTTGTTGCAAGATCTTGAGAGAGATTTTACAATGTATATGATATCATAGAATCATGTAATGGTTTGGGTTGGAAAGGACCTTAAGATCATCCAGTTCCAACCCCCTGCCACGGGCAGGGACACCTCACACTAGAGCAGGTTGCTCCAAGCCCGTGTCCAGCCTGCCCTTGAACACTGCCAGGGATGGGGCAGCCACAGCTTCTCTGAGCACCCTGTGCCAGCACCTCAGCACCCTCCCAGGGAAGAGCTTCTGCCTCAGATCTAACCTGAACTTCCCCTGTTCCAGTTTGAACCCGTCACCCCTTGTCCTATCACTCCACTCCCTGATGAAGAGTCCTTCTCTGGCATCCTTGTAGGCTCCTTCTCTGGCATCCTTTTAGGCTTCCCTATCAATGAGATTCACCCCTACCCCTGGAGTTACTGGGCCAAACTGTGCCGTGATACAAGCCAACAGAGCTCGTTTGACTCTGCTGAAATTACTATCCAGAAGGCACAGGCTGCATTTGACCCTTTTCCAGGAGCATTGTCTCCAAATGGAGGTGCCATAGATAGCTCCTCTGTTCATCCCTGCTCTGGGTTTCCATTTGGTCTGACTGAATGTCTAGCCTGCTACTCTTTTTCCACTCTGTGCAGGTATTTTCAGTTAACTGTAAATGCTTTTAACAGCATGGTTAAAAATTAAGAATTGTGTAAACTTCCTTGGATTTTATATTGCCCTGAAATGTAAATGTGGAGAGAATGAGGAAAACAAATATCTCTTCTGATGATTTATACTGGTTTTTAGACTTGCAATATTGTAAAGTGAAATTGAATTGGTTGCATGCACTAGAGTGGTGCTATCCTGTCACTGGGGAAGATTTAAATCTCATGGTACTTTCCATGAATAGTATCCAGAAAACATTGTTCCTCATAAGTATTTTATGAGCTCTCTCACCCTCATGGCTCTGTTCTTCTGTGCCCAGTGAGGAGATTTTCTGCTCAGTGAAAATCCCTGGCATTTGAAGATGTTTCTTCGTTTTGTATTGGAGGAATGTGGTGATAATCTCTGCTTGCTGGAGAATTAGCCCCTGGGGAAGGTGATGTGAGAGTGAGTTGGGAAGCCTGGCTGGAGAGGGTCTGGGGACCCTGGAGCACTGGCTGCAGCTGCTTGGGACCATTGGGCTTGGGCAGCTGGGAAGGGAGGCTTTGGGCTCTCCAAAACCAAGGTAGCAGGTTTCTGTGATGGTCTCTAGAATGCATCCCTGTGTATTTCAGTTGCTGATAGAAAGGCCTCCTGCTGCAAGGATTCCAAATGGTCTGTTCCCTTGCACCCAGCAGAGACAGCAGCACAATGCCCCACTTGCAGGAGTGACTGCAACAGTGGGTCAGCTCCAGCCGAAGCAGCAGAGCTACAAGAGCCAGTGCCCACCATTCATTTAAACAATGTTTTGTCACCCCATCCAGAAAACCAAGGCAGGGCAGTGTATCAGGAGCCTGTCTCTGCTAGGATTCTCTATGCAGCCAACAGCCAGGCCATGCAACTGGTGCTGGTAAAAGAGTAGATAAACCCTAAAATGCTGTTCTTTCAAAGGTTGAGATCTGCAGAGTGACACAGTCCCACGCTACTATTTTAGTTGCCATGGTAGGACCTGAAAAGGGAGGAACTTGCATTTCTTATGTCATCTTTTTCTCACTGAAACTCTAAACTCAAGTAACTATCATGGCTGTGGTTCTGTGGGTAATGGGCTGCCCTTGTCTAAACAAATTTATGTACCTCAAGCTTCAGCAACTGATTCAACTTCAGCAGCTGAACACTGAGGCACCAAGGACTTGTTTAAATTGGCTTGCTTGAGAAAGCACTGGGAAGAAAAGCAGTTTCGCTGACTTACTGGGTTGTATGGTGCAGTGCATTTTGGTATGATGTACCACCCAAATCCCCAGGGCAAAGACACTGTCCTGATCTTCCCACAGAGCAGGGAAGCACCTGTAGAAACCCCTGTGATGATATCTACTGCTCTGTCAGGCTCTTCCGCTTCCCAGCTGTTTTTTACTGCTGCAGGAACTGGCCACAGAGTACAGAAGGTTCCTGCACCCAATTGTATTGAAATAATTTTGCACATCTACTGTCAAGCCCTCCTCTTTCTTGGCAGGTGACATGTACTGTGTTGAGAGAGTTGTGCTTGGTAGGTGAAAGGCAGTTTCTCTGTGCTGGTAATCCCTTTTCCTAGCCTTTAGGCTGTGATCCCGGATCTGCAGAGCAGTGCCGGAATGGGGAGAGGCTGCTGAGCTGCAAGAGCAGTCACATCATCAAGGGCAAGGGTTATCTCAAGCTGTTCCAGCAATTCTGAGCTTGTCTTGCTGTGTGTTTTTAATGTATTCCCTGGGGCAGCATCAGAAAGGCATGCCACAAGAGTCTGTTTATGATACCTCACAGAGAGGCTTTCTTCTTTGCTTATAAGTGCTCCGAGGAAATGGCACGGCCTTTCCCTGCGGAAATCTCAGTCCACAGCATGCCCAGCAATATGCTGCCTGGCCTGCAGCCACGCTGGAGCTGCAAACAGGGAAGGCAAGGGGTCATTTTAGCTGAATTAGCTTTACAGGTAGCATACGTTTGGGAGAATACCACCACTGAAAATGGATTTTGCCTTTTATTTCAGATAAAACATGAATACATGAAAGATTTTATTAATTTAATAAAATGAATAGAACTTTTTTTTGCTTAATGATTACTTTTTGTGACTTGTGAAAAGGGCTCAATCTCTTGAAAACCCTTCTCTGTTAGTGTTTCTGCCTTATATGAGGGTTTCTTTTCATCTTAGGTATTACGTGCATATTTACCTTTTCAGTGAGATGAGGCTTTTTCCCTCTCTGGGAACTTAACCCATGTCACAGACATCACTGTCCGGTCCATGTCTGAGCTTATTCAGTAATTCCAGTGCATGTATGTCACTGCACAGGGTTGAAATTAAGGAAGTATATAAGTATATAAGCATATATATAAAGTAATTAAGCATTTGCAGGACTGGGGTTTTCCACCCAACTCTAAGGTGTTCAGCACACCCTCTGATAGAGTGAGTGAGAGGTGAAATACATCCATCTCCCAGTAAGTCAAAAATCCAGCACCAAGCTCATCGAGAGGTGAATTAGGACCTAATTTTTAATAGATCTGCAATATTTATTAGCATCCTTTGCTCCCCCTGTGCACTTGACCTAACCCATGTAAAAGAGCTGTAGCATGTGTGTAGCCCTTGTGGTTGTGAGAGAAAGTAAAAGGCAGTTGGAAGTGCAGTCTGTGTGTTCTCTGTTAGTCTGGTAACGTCTCTTTCATGACAAATCTTGTGCTTTCTTGCATTTGTTTAAAAATGGAGATTTGTATTTACTTGAGGTGTCTATGATTCGTTCCCTGACACTTCTAAAGTATTTTACACTAAATCTCTCTTTAGGCAGTCTTTGAAACAGGTGAGGCACAATTGAAGAGAACTACAAGCCCAGCTCCGAAAAGGACAGGCTTTGAAAGTAATGCTTCTATTTCTCTTTCATATATCTCCATCTTTTGGATGTGTCAAGATGACATTTTTCCTTCACACACAAAAAAGTGTTCTTAAAATGAAAGCCGAGATGCAAGTGTGATGATTAGGTTGAAGGGAATTGGATGTTAGAAAGATCCTGAGTGTCACAAAGCTCCCAAGAAAATCAAGACAATTGGCAGCACCAAAGAAGGAAAATGATTAAAAGCTGACGTGGTATTGGCTATGGCTTCACAGGATTTTGGAATAGTAGTGTTCTATGTAAATCAAACAAGCCTGTGGTGACATAAAGTTGGAATGCCAAAGGGGAAAAGCAAGCTGTGGCCCTACTCAGTCTTGTAACCAGTTCTATCAGGCACACTCCTGTTTTCTTTCCCTGATACCTTGTGTGCACGCAGTGGAGTCTGTGTGCACAAAATTCACTGCACATTGGGAACTGCCCACAGAACTTTCAGTGTGTGGCTGGCTGGATGCTGGTGCTAAAGTAATTTCAGGATTGCAGCTGTATAAAGGACAAAGCTGGGTGAGACTTGGTCCTCAAGGGTGGTGGGGTAGGTGGATGATTGAGCTTGGTTGGTCACAGGCACCACCTGCTGTGTTTAGCTACCTGTTTTCCTATGTTTCCTACCCTCAGCCAGAATTACAAGGAAAATCTTTGTTCTTTTTCTAATCCGGAAGCACAAGAAGAAACCTTCTCAGACCCTGTTCTTGTGAGAATACCTTTGCTTGGAAAAGAAGGTGTGGAAGAGCATCCAGACATCTAGCAATGTATTTAAACTTCAAAT